TTGCGGATGGTGAGGGGGCTGACATTAGCTAGCCGTTTGGCTATTTTCCCCCAACCAAGCCCTGAGCCATTGGATGGCGGCGTCAGCGGGGCGAGAGAGCGAATAAGCCCGTTCACGTAGAACAGCGTGTAGCCGGTAAACGAATGCACTGCATTGTTCAGCGCAAACACTACGAGTGGCAACATGGCGCTCCAGCGCCTCGGCGTTTCAGAGCAGACGCTGCAAAGAACTCTTCGATGACGCGATTTACCCTTTCGGTTTGGCCATCGGTCTGCGGAAGATCCGCTGTCGACATCTCCAACTTGGTGCCTAGCACTTTGAAAATAGTCGACCAAAATTTTCCCGTGAAACGAGGTGTCTTTCAGAGACAATTGACTCTGGAAGTCCGTGTTGTCGAAAAAAACGATCCACGAACAGCGTTGCTGTACCGACTCCGTCGATGGTGTCTGACACCGCCGCTAAATTAGCCATCTTGCTCAATCGGTCGACGAATACCACGACACACGTGTTGCCCACCGAATCATTCGGCAGGCCAAACACAAAGTCCAAACTCATGGACTGCCAGCATTCAGTGGGTACCGGTAAGCTGACCAGCGGTGCAGCCGCATTTGGAGAGGGTTTTACCCGTTGACACGTCTGACACGTGCGCTCATAGGTGCTCGTCCATTTGTACAACTTGGGCTACCAATAGTGGTGACCCACAGAGTTGTACGTTTTCTCACGACCGAGATGACCACTGAGCGGCGTGTCGTAGAGGATGCGAAATTTCAAATCCTCATCGTGAGTCTCACATAGGATGCGGTATTTCAAATCCTCATCATGAGGAACACAGTTTGTGGTGTATCCGTTGAATCGGTGCTTTAGTATAGCAACCCGTTATTCAGCGAATATCGGTGCAATCGTGCACGTAGTCTTGATGACAGTTTCTTGTCCGAGTTTCCAAACTCCTTGCTCCCGAGAGCCCGAAGCAACGCTACACACAACCCATCACCCGCATACGCGGTGTGGATTAAATCCGTCACAGACGGCGTTATTTCTAACATGAGCAAGCTCATAGTCTGGACAACGCATCAGCGAAAGTAATCTGCGTTCCCGGCTTATACTTTACCTCGAAGGATAGCCATCTAGCCATCCTCTGCGAGAGGTGGGGCAACTGAGTCGTAGTGCGTAGTGACGCATGATCTGTATAGATCACAAACGGCTTGGAGCCGAGCAGGTGGACCCTGAACTTGACAAGTGTATAGTTCATTGCAAGTAGCTCCTTGACATGTACTAGATAGTTCTTCTCTGCAGCTTTGAGCTGTCGAGATTCGAACACGATCACCCGATCTCGTCCCTCGGCGTCTGTTTGCAGCAGTGCACAGCCGATGGCAAAGTCCAAAGCGTCACGGATGACGCTAAAAGGATGATTAGGGTCTGGCAGCGCCAGTATTGGTGCATGCTGGAGGCTGGCTTTGACCCAAAAGCCTCCTGATGTTCGGTGTTACAACACCATTCCGCATTCTTTTTAAGGAGATTACATAATGGCCGGGCCATTTCTGCGTAGTTTACGCTGTACTTGTGCAAGTAATTGGCGAGACAAAGCCACTTACGCAAGTCCTTCTGCTTCTTTGGAGCCGGCCAGTCTGCAATGGCCTTGACCTTAGCGGGATCCGCCCGAAGGCCTCGCTTCCCAATGAAGCACCCTAAAAAGGAAATTTCTTCTGCACCAAAGATGCACTTGTTTGCATTGGCTTACAGTTTGTTCGTGCGCATGCTCCCGAGCACAGTTCTTAATGAAAGAAGTGGTTCTCCTCATCTGTCCTCCCGTGCTCCGCCCGACTATGAACGAAAATGCCGTCAAGTATGTCTGTGCATACGCCCTGTGGGGCCTGAACAACTGCGTCACAAGACGATTAG